TGTAAGAATTCTGTGAATCAAAGATGGAAAAATTAATAAAATATAGATATAGCATAAATTTAAAAACTTCTTCCCAAAGCTTTCAAATAGCAATGTTTCTTCACAAGTGTAGAATGACATACTTAAATTTAAGCCCAAGTTATCACGTTTAGTTATCCTCATCTGAAACAAAGTATGTGCTTGGTCTTTTTAGAGGCTATAGGCCCTACCTAGCACTCAAGACAGATCTTTCTGTGATGATGGGCAGGTTCTCTAATCTGCACCGTCCGATACCATAGCCACTAACCACACATGGCTACTGAGCATTTCTAATGTGGCCAGTGTGACTAAGGAAGTGAATTTTTTATTTTATTTACTTTTGATTATTTTAAATTTAAATAGCCACATGTGGCTCGTGGCTACCCTATGGGCAGCATAGCTACAGGAGACTTGAGTACACAAGCTCCTTGACTGGGCTCTTGCCTGCTCTCCTGCTCCTGGTCTGCTCCTCTCCTTCACCTCAGAAATCACACTCACAAGGCCAAGCAACTACTGTTTCACACGCCCATGGGTGGGCATACTCTGGCCTCTTTGCCTAAAATGCCCTTCCTCTCCAGCCACCTCCAAACTCCATGAAAATCTTGATCAGGTTTCATTTCTCCGAGGCAACTCTGCTTCACCCACCTCCCGCCTTACCTCATCCCACTGCTGACACAATCTATCACTGCCTCCTCTTTATTTTTCTGAGTGTTTCTGTTGCTCTCACCATCCCATAGTTGACATTTATTCTCCGTGGTGCTAACAGACTATGGGAATTTTGAAGACTGAGTCTCATTCATTCCTTCATCCTAGTGATATGTGCCCATCACATAATATGTGCACAGCAAATCTTTGCTGAGTATATTATTAATTTGTAGATATGTATAACAGTTCATTAAAATAAGTCTCAAGCTATTGACAACCACTCTGTGATTATGGAAACTATGTAGGTCAAATTATATTATAAGGCCTGTTATCAAATAATTTTAAAAAGTTCTTAGAATCTCAATTGAAGGTCTACTTATTTCAAGTATAGCGTTTCAGTACAAATCAAAGAATATACATGTTCCCTGGAACAAAATCCTACCTGTAGCTGCTCCTCCTAAAGGTCTGGAAGTCTCTTGGATTTCAGAAACTGATCCTGTCATTGATCTGCCCCCCTGTGCTTGCAGTGACTTACTAGGGAGACATGGACAAGGTTGAACAGCAAGAAGACAGACCTGATTATGGGCACAGTTATATGGGAATTCAAGGGTACTCTATCCTTGCTACACCCTCTACCCAATCCTACCTCCAAGAAGGAAATCATTAAAATATAATCTAATGTAAAAAATAATGATTGTGAGTGATTTGTATCTGTTTGATAATATATGTTATCCCCTCCCACAATAAAGTATTGTGTTTCCCTTATTCCTTAACAAAGCTTTTGCTCCAAAAAAAATCTTTCTTGTTAAATCATATAGCATCTGTTACAATATTAACCTGCCCTGAGAGCCACGCTGGTTCTTTGTTTTTTCTAATCACAATTTTCCAACTAATCCTTTATTTGAATTTCACACCAGTGTTCCTACAATTAGAAAAAGCACTTGATAGATACATTTCTGTGAACCTAATCTGTATAAGATATTTCCCAATAGCACCCATCTGGTGGCTATATTTTACAAATGATTATCTTTCCTGCCCTCCAGGAACTTACAGTTCAATAACTCAAACAAACAAATACACAGTGACCAGAAATGTGTATTTGTGGGTACAGTCACAGCAGCTGGGCGCTGAAGACATGGATTTCAGAAAGAACATGAGTCCAAAGGACTTTATCTTCAAATCAAATATAGATCTGACTTTTGTCTTCTTTTTTGTTTGTCTTTTGTTGTTGTTGATCCTCACCTGAGGATATCTTTCCATTGATTTTTAGAGAGTAGAAGGGAGGAGAAGAGACAGAGAGAGGGAAACATCTATACGAGAGAGACACATCGATTGATTGCCTCCTGCACAGGCACTGACCAGGGCCAGGGATCGAGCCTGCAACTGAGGTATGTGCCCTTGACCAGAATTGAACCCAGGACCCTTCAATCCAGGGGCCAATGCTCTATCCACTGAGTAAAACTGGCTAGAGCAACTTTTGATTTCTTATTAATTATGTGATTTTGCTTTGTTTTGAAATGCACAAACAGCACTTTCTAATATGATGAACATTAGTTTAACAAATGATTGAGTTCTTAGGGGCTGCATGATCATTTAGATAAATCTCTAATTTTCTCATGATGTTTCAAAGAAAGACAAAGGCCTAAGATATCTTTTGAGGCTGATAATGAACACTGTGAGATAAAAAATCTTTCCCTAAGATGCCCTAGATCTAAATATAGGGATATTCATTTCTTTTTCTAAAATTCCTTCTAAAATCTGCCCATTTGGGAAGAATACTGATTAAATCTAGAAATTACAGTCCGTATATTATAGGAATGACTTGTGAATTCTACTAATAAAAGATGTACTTATTTCCAAAATGTTTCTATTGCTGCTTATAGAAGATCTGGCTTTCAAAGATTCTGTTTTGAGGTTAAAAATGAAGATAGTGACCTTACGCCTATGAAGATTTGTAATGCTGGCATGCCATCTATCTCAATAATATCCAACAAGAATGTCAAATGGACAGAACGGCCATGGTGAGCGGGTGCTTGCCACTGACAGTGATTGCTATATTTTGGGTGATGGGGAACAGGATGTCCATTAGTTGGAGTGAAATACAATGCCCTGCCAACTCTAGGTATCAGTGCATTCAATCCCCCTGCTGTGCCGTGTCCATTTTCTGTTGCTGCAATTAAAAATCAGTCAATACACAGTCAAAATGTTGTACATTCCTCCCCTATCCCTTTCCCTGTCACTGTGTTTCCAGCTCACCGGAAGAACATGTCACTATGGTAACCAATCCCTCTGGTGCACAGACCAAGTCAACCTTTCTAGCTGGATTGCTAAGCAGAGCAACAGGGAATCAAAGCCCTCATTGCAACCATCAGAAGCCATGAATGCCACCCTTCTTTTTTTAAGTGGGGTTAACCAATACCAGATAGAAGGACACCTGTCTTGTTTAGGGAGACGTTCGAGGCAGGAAATTCAAGAATGTCCTTCAGTAAGTCCTACCAGTGTTTATCAGGCATTATTAACATGAATTCTTCCTCACATTCTGGCTAACTTCCTACCATTCCGATTTTAATGAAAGCAGAAAATGAGGGATAAAACAACATCTTATGAATCTGAGAATCTGAAAACTGCTATGAAATCACCCATGGTCAAAAACTATTCTGCTTGCTCTTCTTTCCCCAAAATCCAAACCCGAGTTGCTCTCTTCTGGAATTCTCTAATATCCATATGTCTTTACAAACTTGTAGAGCTCCAGATGGGTCACCCTGCTCTAAAAAGTGCCTAACATGAAACAGATGTGATGTTTATAATATTAATACATTCGAAGCCAAATTAGCTAAAATCCCCAGTCATTCTACAGAACCTACAACACAAGCATTAAGATGGGTTCTGTCTGGACTTACCTCACCTAAGTCTGAATGGCTACCTAGACCATATCTACTGCTTGTCATTCTTAAACAATTGGCATTTTTATTAACAGTTTTTATCCATTTCAAAATTTTTATAAGTTAAAGAACATCTGTTCTCACAAATTATATTTAAAAACAGCATCAAACCTCCATTATAATATTAAATGTCATTAAGAACTGTTTTATATCTTGGCTTCAAAGGCTGCTGATAAACAACATCCTTTTCAGCTTACCACCACCATTTAATAGTTGAAAAGAATGAAACATAGCAGGGAGTAAAAGAAGACTCTTGAGATCACACCACATCTTCCAGGACATAGCTACCATAGAAGAGCAATATTAATATATATCCAGCCCTAGCCAGTTTGGCTCAGTGGATAGAGTGTCGGCCTTCGGACAGGATCCCAGGTTTGATTCTGGTCAAGGGCACATGCCTTCGTTACAGGCTCAATCTCCAGTGTGGGGCATGCAGGAGGCAACCGATCAATGATTCTCTCTCATCATTGATGTTTCTATCTCTCTCTCCCTCTCCATTCCTCTCCGAAATCAATAAAAATATATTTAAAGTATATTTTAGTGGGTTAATGGAACAGGAAGGTCCCCAAAGTATATGTCATGCAAAATTTACAAATTTCATTTTAAAGCAGACTTTAAAATGTATGTGATCATACTAACATATCAAATTTTTACGGTTTGTAAATACAGGGGTTTTTTTCCTGTTTTGGTACACTTTGGTATGGTACTCTTTTTTTCTCTGCAGTGCCCACTTTGTTGTTACCTGAAAAACTACTTTTTTGTGCTTGTCAGACCCCCGCTAAATATTGCATGCACACAAGTCATTTGTCAACCACTTTCTCAAAAGGAGAAATCAAGAATTGTGGTATGATGCCACTGGGTCAACGGGCTTTGAGCTGCCACAGGGCAGGAGCTGGAATTTGTTGATATTTATATGACCAATGCCTGCAACATGCCTAGTAGAGTACAGCACTTAGCAAACGTTCCTGGCATCAGTAAGGCCTTCTGTTTGAGATGTTTCCCCCACTTTCCCTTGATGAATCAGTTCAACATCTAAAAAGATTAAAACTAGGAGTCTGACTACCCCAACATATCACTCTTAAAGGGCTTCCTCTGTTAACAGCACATTATAGATTTCCTTCCTTTTAAGAGACTGGACCAGCATTATCCTACCCTGGACCATGCGAATCTCAACAGACAAATGCAAGACAAGAGGCGAGTAGGGAGAGGTAAGCCTCTGTCACCAGTCACTGGGAGGCAAGTTGTGGCCACTCCAAGGTTTGGGAGAGCCTGACAACCTGACCTCCTGGACCCAGGAGGCTTGCTAGACCTCCGCCAGGCTTAGGAGGGAGGGGGCTGCCGGGCCTAGCTGGGGCCAGGCTCTCCGCAGCGCCACGCCTCGCTGCTGGCGCTTACCTTTCCGAATGAGAGCGGCGATCTCGGGGTCGAAGCCCTGCCGGTGGCACTTTCTCCAGAGGCCCATGTTGGTGGAGTTGTACTGCCGGCTGCATTCGTCAATGGGGCTCATGGCGAAGAGCTGCCTGCGATTCCGGGCCCGGAGGAGTTTGCCCTCCCAGCGGTCCAGGCGCGAGCGGCTCGCTCGGAGCGGCAAGTTGTTGTTGTTGTTGTAAATGAAGCCAGGATCGATCCGGCGGGTGTTGAAGGCCTTGCACCTGTCCCTGTGCTTCCTGGCGTCCGTCTCGTACCAGTGGTCCGAGCAGATGGCCACGGCCAGCATGCCGAGGGCGCAGAGCGCTAGCGAGAGGCCCGTGTAGAGCAGTAACCTTCCGGCAGCCATGCCTCCGCTTCGCGGCTACACCATGGGCATGATCCGCCGCAGCTTCGCCTTCCCTCCGCGCGCCCGGAACAAAGCGGCGGGCGGCCGAGCCAAAGGGGGGAGGGGGAC